TGAGATATGAACATTGCAGTTCGAAGCCAGCTTGGGCAGGCAAGTGTATGAGACTCTTAGCCCCAATTAACCACTAGAAGTGGACCTATGGCTTAAGTGGTAGAGCACTAGATGAGCAAAAAAGAGATCAGGGACAGCATCCAGGACCTGAGTTCAAGCCCCAGGATACACACACACACACACACACACACACACACACACACACACACACACACACACAGAGTCTCCTGGACTTGCATGTTGGGTCTGTGATCCTTAGATCTTAGCCTTCTGAGTAGCCAGACAGAGCCACCATGCTCTGCTAATCACATATCTTGGAGAAGGGACCCAGATCTAACTGTGAATCTGAAGCTCATTTTATTTATTTTTTAAAATATTTATCTTTGTGTGTGTGTGTGTGTGTATGTGTGTGTGTGTGTGTGTTTTCGTTGGGTTTGAACACACAACTTCTTGTTCTCACTTAGTCCTCTCACCACACCTCCACTTCCTTTTTTTTTCTTTTGCTGGTTCTTGAGAGAGAAGAGTCTCTTGGATTTGCCTGCTGAGGGCTGGCTTGGCGTGGTGATCTCAGATCTTGGCCTCTTGAATGAAGGCTGTTTTAGGACCGTAGTTTCCCTGAACTTTGTCACATGAGGATGTCTTGTGCTTACTCAGAAAGTTTTCAATGTTTGGAGCATTTCAGATTTTGGATTTTCAGATTAGAAAGCTCAACCAATGAGGCCCTTTGGGCTCAGGCTGGCTGCTCCCGGCCTGTTGTTCCACAGCCTTATCAAAACCATGTGGGACATCCAGTTCTTGGCCAGGATCTTGGTGTCTCTTGACCCACATCCTGGCACGTGAGTATCTTGTTCCTGAAGCAGCTCCCTCCCTGCATGCTCTCTCATCCCTGCTTACCCCTTTACTTGTGTTTAAAAAAGAATATTCATGGATTGTGCAGCTGTTGCCATGACTAATTGCAGAACATTTTTCATTTTAATCACCTGCCCCCACCTAAGGCAACCTGTGTCCATCAGTGGTCTTCTCTCCATTCTTCCAACCAACCCCAGCCCCAGGCGGCTGCTCTGGAGATTTCACATGAGTAAATGCAATCATAAAATGTATGGCTTTTTGTATCTGGTTCTTTTCACTTAGCAGAAAGGTCTTGAGCCTTGCCCATGTGGTAGTATGGATAAGCACACATTAGCCCTTTATTCCTCTTTATGGCCAAATAATATTCCAATGTGTGGATGTACCATATTTATTTACTGACCAGTAGATAGAATTTGGGTTGTTTCTCCTTTTTAGGTCATGGTGAATATTGTTTCTATGCTAGTATTTTTTTCAGTGCCAGGGAATAAACTCAGAGCCTTCTTCATAGTAGGCAAGCATTACCACTGAGCTACATCACAGCCCTTATATGGCTTCTATCAATCTACTAAGTCCTGGGGCTCAAACCCAGGGTCAGGGTTTTTTGCTCAAGGCAGGTGAAGTCACAGCTCCACTTCTCACTTTTTGGGTAGTTAATTGGAGATAAGAGTCTCACAGACTTTCATGCCCAGCTGGCTTCAAACCTTGATCCTCAGATCTTAGCCTTCTGAGTAGCTAGGATTACGGACATGAGGCACTAGCACCCAGTTAGCGAGTTTCCTGGGGTCCAGGATTGGGTCTCTTATCTTTTGCTTATGGCCTAGCATAGAGACTTGGTGAGACAAAGAACTATCAGAGTCATTCACTTGGACTGTGGTGCCAGTGAATATGATTTTGTCTTTGCCATCATGATAATTATTTGGTTTCACATGCTGAAAATTAATAATGATGTTTGCAGGGGACACAGATAGAATCTGTTCCCATTTAGGCATCTTACACATGGACTATGTGTTACAAGACTGACTGGGGAACAGGATGCATGACCCACCACAAAACACCCCTGTGTAGGGCGAATAGCTTCAGATCCATAAAAGACAGTATGTTATAGTTTCCTACTGGAGAGAGAAACAGGCCTTAAGGCAATCAGTCTCCCTTGGGATGGGTTTGATTGCTGGGTTGTTCTCAGAATGGGAGCTGTCTTAGCTTTCTGTTGCAATGACAAAGCACCTGAAAACCCAGGTTAATAAAGAGAGAGGTTCACTTTGCCTCAGGATCTTTGACCCTGTCACTTTGATCCTGTGACAGATGTGCTCAAGTGAGCCAGGTGCCAGTGGCTCACACCTGTAATCCTAGCTACTCGGGAGGCTGAGATCAAGCTAGCCCAGGCAGAAAAGTCTTAACCACTCAAAAACCAGAGGTGGTGCTGCGGCTCAAAGTCGTAGAGTGTTGGCCTTGGGCAAAAGAGCTCAGGGACAGGGCCAAGATCCTATACTCAAGCCCCACAGTTGACAAAAAATGAAAAAAAAGAAAGAGAGAGGGGGGAGGGAGGGAGGGAGGGAGGGAGGAAGGAAGGAAGGAAAAAAGGAAGGAAGAAAGGAAAAAAGGAAGGAAGGAAGGAAGGAAGGCAGGCAGGCAGGCAGGCAGGCAGGCAGGCACGCAGGCAGGCAGGCAGGCAGGCAGGAAGGAAGGAAGGAAGGAAGAAAGGAAGGAAGGAAGGAAGGAAAAGAAGAGCACAGTGGATGAGCCAGGGCTGCTCACCTTATGGTGGTTGAAAAGCAAAGAGAGTAAGAAAAGCATCCGTTTTACAATATTCCTGTTAAGAGCAACCCCCACTCCCATGACCTAATTCCCTCCCACTAGGCCATGCCTCCTGAAAGTTGTACCACCTTCCCGTAGCACAGATTTGGATCAGAGCCTTCCACACAGAAGAGGCAGTGTAGGGAGATGGTGACAAGTGTGGGTGTTCAGTGTTTCCTCACTGGGCAGATGAGACTTTGATCATGTTGTGTACTTCACCTTGTGCCTCAGTGTCCAGATCTTTGAATGAAAATAATAGGTATTCAAGAGTGGTTGTTAGAGTTTTCTCCTTTAAGAGATCTGCTCTGCAGAAAGCCTGGTATTGTTATTTGACTGATAGCTGCCACCTCTCTTCTTTTCTCTTCTTTACTCTTCTCTTGTTTTCTCTCTCTCTTTCTCTCTCTCTCTTTCTTTCTAGTTCTAAAGATGTTCCACTTATTTCTTATTTCCATCTATCATTCAGAATAACATCTAACTATTTGCCTTTTCCTAGAAAAAGAAACCTGCTTTCTTGCGTTCCCTCTGAAACTCAGGGTCATCATTTTCGATGATGACCTTGTCTTTTCTCCTTCCTGGCCACTGTCACCTTAATTCACTTTCAATCTTAGTCATTCCCAGTCACTTCTGTCTCTTCTTGCATGGTCATTGAAGATATGTTTGCCCAGGAAAATCCTGGCCCCTTCTGTCAATCTTCAAGTTTGTCTAGGTGTGTTTGGACTATAAACTTAAACCACAGCTTCCTCTCTGCAGTCTCCTCTCATCCGGAGTCTCCTTGCCCAGGATAAAGATGACACTCTGATTAGAATCTTAACAGGCCAGTAATTAAGGAGAATCTTATCTTGGAGCAGGTGACAGATAAACCAGCTAGTAAACATAGATTTTTTTTTTTTTCTTTTTAGCAACTAAAGGCCCTAAGTATCTCCTTGCCCCTGGAAAGGTTGACACTTAGTAAAAGGGTAAGTTCCCTCTTATGCTCTCTCTCTGTCTCTCTCTCTTTCCTCCCTCTTTCTCTTTCTCTCTTCTCCTATTTCTGTCTTTCTCTCCATCTCTTTCTTATCTCTCTCTTAAGCAGGGTCTCTCTATGTAGTCCAAGCTAGCCTTGAATTGGCAACCTTCTCCTCGGGGCTCCCAGCTGCTGAGATTACAAGTGTGCACTGAATCAGTAGGCTTTCCTAAATGCTGTCTGTCACTGGGAATCCTAGACTCCAGGAGGTTGTCAAGATGGGACATAGGAAAGGGGATGCTGATTTCCTCTTTCAGCTTTTCAGCTGTGGTCTTTGAAGCTGTCTGTGCTCCAGTTCCCATCCGCTTTTATCAGCCCCATCCTCTGACCCTTCAGTGTGGCACTTGAAGAAGATGAGCTCTCTGCTTTTCTGTTTCCTTCAGTTTCCTCTGTTAATCAGGAAACAGAGACATTTCACTGGGTTGGTGGCACAGTCGAACTCACCCCGTGTCTGACTCTCTTCTTTGAAGGCAAGAGGCATAGCTGTCTTCCAAGTGTGGTTAAAAAATAGGGGGTGAAGACTGTATCTCCAAGGTCAGCTTGCCCCCTAGCCAGAGGACGGGTCTTGCTGATGTGTGTGAGCTGGGGTTGTGTCAGGCATGTGCAATGTCTGAGCCAGGCTCTGCACCTCTGTGGTCCTGTAGAACCTGTGATGGGCATGGCTTTATATTTTCAGATGACTTCCTGTGCCTCACCCAGGGTGAGGTTCACCCAGGGTCAAATGGCCTGTGAGGGAGCAAAGTGAGGCTCCTTTATGCATCTGTGTGGAGTCCTTTTTGGGCGTTCCCTGCAGGTGTAGGGAGCCTTGCCATTGTATTGGAGTGTGGCCAAGGCATTGCACTTTGCCTGTGACTGGACTCCTGGACTTAAAACACAGTGACATGGGAACAAGGAGCAGGAGTGAGAACAAGGAGAGGGGAACCAACACTGAAGCCCTCCCTCTCCCAGTCTTGGGGTTCATTTGTGAACCTTATTCCCCTTAATACACTTCTTCCAGGCTACCATGGCAAGGGTCCTGCATCACAAGCACCAAGACCTCTCAGGCTCTGTGGGACCCAGTTTGGAAATCCTGTACTAAGCATTGCCCGTCTGCATGACGGTAGCACGTGGGTTGCAGGCAGGACCACTGCGCAGTTCTGACTCACTTAGCAGGGGAGGCGGGGTACTCTGTTACTGTGGGTGGCTGGGGTGCTTTATCATTAGTCTTGGGGAAATGAATTCTCAGAGAAGCAGGCGAAGGTGTAAATTATGCTTCGCTGCAAATCGTGAAGACTCTGTGTGTGTGTGTGTGTGTGTGTGTGTGTGTGTGTGTGTGTGTGTGTGTGTGTGTGTGAACATACATATTCTTAGGTACAGCTACAAGTCTCTTGAAAATGAGGACTGATGGGAGATGCAAGCAAATTGGAAAGGGTTACTGTGCACCCAAGCAGCTGACATGACTGATAACCAGAGTCACCTATATGTGATTGGAGGGAGACAACAGCCATCTTTGTGTGTGTGTGTGTATGTGTGTGCGTGTGTGCGCGTGCATGCTATTACTGCGGCTTGGACACAGAGCCTGGACATTGCCCTTGAGCTTTTTTGATCAAGGCAGGCTCTCTATCACATGAGCCTCAGCTTCGCTGTTGGCTTTTTGGTAGTTAATTGGAGATGAGAATCTCACGGACCTTCCTTTCCTGCCTTGTCTGTCTTCGAACCCTGGTCCTCAGATCTCAGCCTACGAAGTAGCTAGGATCACAGGTTTGAACCCCCAGGCTACAACCACCATCTTAGGGGGCTAGAGGGAGCAATTCGAAGACCCCTGACATCCCCCTGAGAGTGAGCAGTTTCTCTACATAGCCAGGTGCCCCAGCTTGGACATGGACATCAACAGTGTCCTCCTCCAAACTTAGTTCCCCTAAAATGGCCACTGGTTGCCCCTGATCCACGTTTCTAAGGGCTCTTTGATTGGACTCCTTATGTGTCCCTGTGCAAGCACCCTCTGGTCTCACTGCCTCTCTGCTCTCCTCACTCTGCTCTCCTGAGGAGGGAGGGTGCCTGCACAGAGGCCCTTTCCCCTCTTCTGGCTCAAACACTATGGCCTGGATATGGCTCAGGGGCCTCCCCCAAAGCTTGATGTTGTTGGGAGCTTGGCACAGCAGAGGAAAGGCTTGCAGCCTCCAGGAAGTGAGTGGTCAGATAAACACACCGAGCACAGAAAGGAGCTCCTGGGGCAGTCCAGAGTGAGGGAAAACTCAAGGCTCATGAAAGGCTCTATCTCCTCTGGATCCATGTGTAGACATCTTCGCCTTCAGGACCCCAAGATGTAACTGTCTTAGAGACAAGACCCTGAGGGAGGTAAGTTACAAAACAGTCAACAGGGCAGGGCCCTAATCTAACATAGCTGGTGTCCTTAGAAGAAAGAGAAATTGGTGTTGGTGACTCACACCTGTACTTTTAGCTACTCAGGATGCAGGGGCCTGGAGGATGGTGATTCAAAACAGCTTGGGCAGAAAAGTCTATGAGACTCTGTCTCCAACTAAGTAGCAAAAATCTGGGCTGGAGGTGTGGCTCAAGTGGTAGAGCACTAGCTGTCAGAAAACAAGCCAATTGAAGATATGAACCCCAGAGTTCAAGCACTGTTACCACACACCACAAATAAATAAATACCCAGATTGGGAAGACTATATGAGACAGAGGCCTGTTATGAGCACACACCACACATAAATAGATAGATAAGCAAAAAATAAATAAAATCTAGATAGGGAAGACTATATGAGACAGAGGCAGGTTAAAGAAGGCCCTCCACACACTAGGGAGAGGCCTTAGAAGAAAGCAACCTTGGTGGTATCTTTGTTTGAGACCCTTGGCTTTTTCAACCATGGGACTTGAACTCAGGACCTGGGCACTATCCCTGAGCTTTTTGTCTCAAGGCTAGTGCTCTACCACTTTGAGCCACAGCACCACTTCTGGTTTTCTAGGGATTAATTGGAGATAAGTGTCTCATAGGCTTTCTTGCCTGGGCTGCCTTTGAACCAGGATCCTCAGATCTCAGCCTCCTAAGCAGCTATGGTGTGAGCCACCGATGCTCAGCTTTCTGCTCATTTATTTCCTCGCTAACATTTCCTATCTGACAAGCTTCATGTTCGTGTGTTTACTATGTTTGCTATGATGTTGTCATGAGCCTGTGCACTCTGCAAGGTCACGGCTGTGCGTCCGTCTGTTCTTTCGTGTGGTCCCCAGAATCCAACACAGGCGAGGGCCCTTAGAGTCCCTCACACACACTGTGGGTGAGTAATGTAGGAATCCAAGTCCTGGGGTCTGATTCCTTACTCTGAGCCTAAATTCAGACTTGGTAATTAAAGCAGGGTGTCATCCATCTAGTGCTGCTTGGCTCTAAACACTTGAGTTTGCTGAGAACTCCGAGTTTTTTGCAGACCAGGAAGTAACCAGATTTTTGGTTACTTGAAAAATTAGACTCCAAGGGAACAGACCCAAGGGAGACAGGGGAGAGCCGTGTGTGTGTGTGTGTGTGTGTGTGTGTGTGTGTGTGTGTGTGTGTGTGTGTGTGTGTGTTTGTGTGTGTGTGTGGTGGGGGTGGAATGGGGGGTGGAGGTGTGTGCTTTTCTGGGCACATGGCTGTGGTCTTGTGCATGCTGTTTTCCCAGCAGACGTAGAAGTTTCTGGAAGGCAAGGACAATGGTGGTCTTCATTCTCACTGTAAGCTTGTTCATGGTGCTTCTCAGACACACATCTGCACACGAATGGCATTTACATCTGCACATACATGTGAGCTTTTAAACAGCCTGGCCAAATGAATTACCGGTCAGATAAAGACACTTAGGGCTCAGAGGATAAGCAATTTGGTCAGGACACACAGCCAGCCAGAGATTCCATCGCTGCTCAGAACAAATATTGTCTGCTGTTTTCCTTCCCCAGAAGGGGAGGTCTGTTTTTTTTTTATGTCAGATAAGAACCATGTGGCACAGCTTATTTTGAGAGATAGGAAATTAATCCTTATGCTGTTGGACCTCATTCATATTAGAGGGTTTTTTTTTTTGACACTTGGAATTTTCTTGTGTGTGTGTGTGTGTGTGTGTGTGTGTGTGTGTGTGTGTGTGCGTGCACGCGTGCGCGTGCAAACGCGCTTTCACATGCTTGCTTTTCTTTTTCATTCAAGGCTGGCGATCTGCCACTTGAGCCACACTACCACTTCCAGCTTTTTGCTAGTTCATTGGAGATAGTCCCACGGGCTTTTCTGCCTGGGCTAGCTTCAAATCGTGATCCTCAGATCTCAGTCTCCTGAGCAGTTAGGATTATAGGCCACCAGTGGCCAGCAACACTTTAGAATTTTCCAGTCAGGAAGACATTCTATAAAAGTTGCAGTGGCCCTTTCTATTACTCCAGAAAGTGAGGTTCCTCTTTCCTCATCCAGCTTCAGAGGTGCTCTGAAAAAAAAAGCAGGTTTCCCGCTTCATTGGGGGTGTTCTTCATTTACTAGCAGGTCTGACTTAAAGAGCCATTGTCAGGGATTCTTGGTGAAGGCACCCAGCCAGGTGGGAAGGACTGCCCAGCTTGGGATGCAGTTCTGGGTTTCACCATTGGAGCTCTGTGTTGGCCCAAGTTACTGACAAGTCTGGCTCTAGTTGCATCTGGCCTAAGAGGAAGCCTGGGGAAAGCTTGCCTGGAGAAAATTCGGTCAAGATGTTGGCTTCTGACACCTCTGGTTTTCTTCCAAGCCAGAAGAGGAAAAGATTGTAATTTACAGGAGAAAGGAAGTGCTAGGGTTTTCTATGAATGGAGTGAGCTCCCAGCAGGGTAGATGCTTTGCAACTCAGGTGAAACCACGGAGCCAAGCCCTCCAGAGTTGAGGGGGAGGAGTTGCCCTGGGCTGGTGTCAGGTAGCTTGCTGGGCTTTGACACAGTTTCTGTGTGGTTGGGGTGCTCCTGAGCTCAGAGATGTCCCTCAAAGTGATGGCACTGCTGAGCCTAAGGTAGAAGGTAAAGTGCACTCTCACCTTGGAGCCTTTTGATGCATGGGCAAGATCACTTCAGCACTTAGGAGGCTGAAGTGGGAGGACCTCAAGTTCTAGGCCAGCCTGGGATACAGGATGAGAGATTATCTCTCCTTCCCCAAGAAATGGAGAGCAGGATGCAACAGCTCATTCATGGAGCCAGTGGAGCCAGTGCTGGGGAGCTCTGCGGTGTGCCAGGTACAACCTGGGAAGTTGGAGATCCACAGCAAACCTAGCTCACAGAAACCTTTGCAATAGACAGACAAGAAAACTAAGCAGACAAAGCCAGCCACCCGCGGCTCATGCCTGTAATCCTAGTTGCTCAGCAGGCTGAGATCTGAGGATCCCAGCCCAGGCAGGAAAGTCTGTGAGACTCTTATCTCCTCCACTTAACCACCAGAAAACTGGAAGTGACACTGTGGCTCTGTTGGTATTATCCCCACCTCTGGTCCTCAGCTCTACCCAGATCTGAGCGCCTCTCAGCCCTAGAGTTTCTGCCCTACAGCTGGCCACTCTCTCTCTCCGTCCAGCCCTACCTTGCACTCATTTACTTCGCTTCTGCCCTCACTTCCTCCCCCCAGACCTGCCTGCCACCTGGGTAGGCAGACACCATGTGTTCCCTCTCCTGGGGAGATATGGGCTCCTCTAATAATAATAATAATCTGACAATAATCTTACTCCTGTGCCTGCCTGCCTCTGTGTGGTCCCCTGGAATGGTCATGAAGGATTCTTACAGGCTTAAAGTGATAGAGCGAGAGCTTAAGCAAAAAAGCCCAAAGACAACATCCAGGTCTTGAGTTCAAGCCCCGTGACGGACGGAAAAAAAAAGAGCAGGTAATGTGATGAGTTAGACTGTTTATAAGTTTAAGTGGCTAGGTAGACATCTCTTGAGGAGAAAATATCTGATGAGAGCTCTAGAAGATATGAGGGAGCAAATGTGTCGATTTCATGCACTCCAGCCAGAAGTCAGCAAGAACAGCACATGCAAAGGCCCTGGGTCTGAGTGTTTCTGGAGAGGAATAAAGAGGTCAGTGGAGCTGGAGAAGAAGTGAATGTGGCATAAAGAGTATTGAAGATAGAGCGGAGTGGCGGCTGAGGGGTGAGAGATACCTAGGGCGCGAGTATCTTGGGGACCTTCATGAGTCCTGACATTTATAGTAAGTGCTAGAGGAACCGTTATAGGAACTTTTGTGCAGACCAGTGACATGGTTATTCTTATAAGGCTCACTCTGCTGTATTATTGAGAGTAAATACGAAGGGAGCAGAGGGGATGGAGAGCAAGGGACAGAAGAATGGAGATGAGTGAAGAGTTTTACTGTAATAGTACAAGAGTTGGGTGTGGTGGAACACGCTTGTAATCCCAGCTACTC